GCTGAGTCAACCCTGAGCCGGTGAGATTTGAACCGCTGACCTGCTGATCTAGCAGTAGCCTGCAGTGCTGCATTTAACCACTGCGCCACCTTGGCTCATAATCTTGATCCTGTGTCAGTGCATGCACGCATTCACGCACATTCATGCATGTCCATGTATGTGCATGTTTGTGCATGTTTGCACATGCACGTGTTCGCACACCTTTTGGTTTGGGCATGCGCGCATGCACAGTTTGGGGCACTTGGTGTCTAAAAGGTTTGCCATCACTGCTACAGGTGATCAGGAATCCCATGCCATGCAAGCAAACTAATGCAGGAAAGACAAGTCTCCATCCTGGTCAGCCAACCTGCTTGCTTCCTGTGTCAACTGCAGAGGAAAACCTCTTAGCCCAAAACAATCAGAAATTCAGTGGAATGGTGCAGGGAAGACAGTCCCCTCTGCATTAACAAGGAAGGAAGAAAAGTAAGCTAATTACTTCTATGGCTTTATTTCCAAGGCAGATATAAGGTAAAGGTAAAGATTCCCTTCGCACATATGTGCTAGTCGAGGGGGCAGTGCTCATCTCCGTTTTAAAGCTGAAGAGCCAGCGCTGTCCGAAGATGTCTCCATGGTCATGTGGCTGGCATGACTAAATGCCGAAGGCGTGCGGAACTTTGTTACCTTCCCACCAAAGGTTTTCTATTTTTCTATTTGCATTTTTACATGCTTTCAAACTACTAGGTTGGAAGAAGCTGGGATAAGTAACAGGAGCTCACTCCATTACGCAGTGCTAGGGATTCGAGCCGCCAAACTGCTGATCTTTCTGATCAACAAATTCAGCATCTTAGCCACTGAGCCGCCGCGTCCCTTGTAAGGCAGATATAGGCCTATGGAATATGCTGCTGTACTTTGTTTCAGATACCAAAGCCAATAATATTGCAAGACAACAATACCGAAGGCCAAATCACAGCTCCATAACTGTCTGTAGCTTCTGTAATCTTGATCCTGTGGCCAGCAAATTTGAATTCTTCCCAAGTATGGGTGGTTATCAAAGAAGGACAAAAACGTCGTCCCATGATCTCTGCAACTATGTCTTCATCTCCATTTGGTCCTAATTTAAGATAATAAGAAGCATGTAATAATGACAGTGACAACAAAAATAACAGACGTTTTAAAAATAGCAAGGGCAGATATCCCTTTTAAATAACAAAATACTTATTTTATGTCAATGCTGGTAAAGGATCCTCACAATAAAGGTTTTAATGTATTTGTAGACATTATGCAGAAATTCCTAAAACTGTAATAACATAATTTACTTTGTAGATCAGTAACAATGAAATAAAAAGTGTACTACAGTAGTCTTGTAACTAGCTGAATCTTCATAATTAGAAGACAGATAGGGGTCTAGGATAATTGACCGCAGCCATATGGCCATGCTCATTTCACCCTGGTCCCCTTGCCACAACTGACACACTACCGGTGTTCATCCTCAGCTGGCCTTCCACTAGCACTAATCCCCCGCGTTCCTCTCCCTCCTCCTCATCTTGGACAATTGGTTGAGGGACACTTGTTCTGGGGCAATTCACAATGCAGGACAATTAGCTGCACAACCAGGCAACCAATCCATGCCCTGAGCAGTGGGTCTCTGCCTTCTCATTGGGTGCAGTCCTGCCAGTTTGGCTTCTTGAAGTGCTCGAATTCCTTCCCTGGCATTTGGGGTAGGCTATGCACAGGGGAGGAGGGAGAGACTTTCTTACCCTTGCTGGGAAACTTTTCAGGTGATGGGGGGCATGGGGGGCAGAGAAAACATTGTGGAGAATTGGGGTGAGGGGAATCCAAGCTCTTCGCTGAAAAGCAGGTCTCAGGCAGGGAACTGCTGGTATCTGTAGCATGCAGGTCCAGGTTGGGCATTAGCAAGAAGACCTGTGCCAATCACTTTAACTGCCCCCATTGAAATTCATCTACCCTTTAGAATTCCGGTGCAGCAGCAGAGATGTCTGGAAAGCGAGTGGATGCCTGCAGCAGGTGAAGGATTCAGAGTGGTGCAAGGATAGATGGGTGACGGGTCCCTGAAGCTGCCTTTGCCAGATGTTGCAACTGGCATTCCTAAGGGTAAAAGAGCTTCAATGGGGACAACTGACCCTGAGAGGTTTTCCAGGAAACCAAAGAAAGTCTCTCCCTCCTATCTATCCAAAGCTGGAGAAGGAATTTGAGCACTTCAGGAAGCCGATCCAGTGGGACTGCATCCAAGGGGAAGGCAAAGCCCACTCCTTGGCTTGCAAATTGGCTGTCAGGATGCGCAGCTAATTTCCCTGTGCTGTGAATTGGCCAGGGACAAGTGTTCCACAGCAAATCACCAAGTGGGCTAATTTGCAGAATCTATCCAAAATCCATCACTCCCTAGAGATTAAAAGTTGGCAAAATTGGGGCCATTTCAGCACTGTGGCATCTTCCAACTACACTTCCCAGAAACCTTTAGGTTGGGTGGTACAAAATAAGATGGGAGAAGCTTATCCTTCCTGTTTTCCTTTAGCCCCTGCACCCAATTAGATGACAGCAAGGCCCAGCAAGCGAGGTAGGGCTGGCTTGAGAGCACTGGCAGTCTTTGGGTGAGCCCTCTTCTTCCCTGGAGGGAGCAGGCTCTTGCGGACACACCAGAACAAGAATCAAGGGTGTTGTTTTCCTCACAGCCTACAGCTCCCTTGGCTCTTCCTTTCCCAGGCAAAGTGACATGCAGTTCCCTGGGTCAGTTGAGGAAGGAATGAGGCTTCACTGGGACTCTTCTGAAGGTCATGAAGCAGCGCAGTCTATATGGAAAGAAGACTGTTGGCCTAACAAGTCATGGATTGTCCAGCTCATGTATGAACTAGGAGCTGAATTGCCATTTTTGCTAGACCACTTGAATCTAGGTGATCATTTAATCAGCATTAAATAGCTCAACTAATGAGTCAGGGGATAAAAATTGGGGGGGAAACAGCTGCAACATGTAAAAAATTCCAAGTTTGAGCATGAGAACAGAAAAGAGGGAGGGGAAAAAAAGCACTGGGAACCAGTAGTGACCTGCCACTTCTTTTGCTGTCAGAAAGACTTCTCATGAGCAAAAGGTAAAGGTGAAAAGGTAGAAATATTGGTACAATTCAATTAATTCAGAAGTATTAATTGTCAGTCAGAATCTGGCTCTCCATATTTCCTATTTACAAAACTGGGATATTGACAAAGTTTTTTTAAAAATAGTAATATGTTATATGGTATGGCATGAATCCATTTTCAGATAAATTGTCTTGGGGTGTTTTTTAAAAAAATACTCATAATTTCTTTGAACTCTGCAGAAATCAGATTATGATTGCAGGAAAGCTTTTCTGTTCTAAAGGACTGTGAGATTTACGACTGCAGAGAAGAGAACTAATTACCAAGCTTGACAATTTTAAAATAAGATTCATGCTCTTGAAGGCAATCAATGGCTAATAACCATTAGGTATATACCATGTTTCCCCAAAAATACAATCACAGAAGAACTCAAGTAGCAGAGCGACTGGTGTCAGGGCATGAGACGCATGGTTGCGGTGGTACTAAGGTAAGCAGGTAAGACATCCCCCCAAAATAAGATCTGTATTGTATTGTATTGTATTGTATTGTATTGTATTGTATTGTATTG